CTCCACTTTGCAATATTGCTCTTGCTGTTTGAGTACACAGCCTCAAAACCCTCCTATTCCCCCACTTTTATCAGAAATAAAAGCAGAATATTTGAAAAAATAAGGATGCTTACTAGAAAGTTGAAGGGGAAAAAAAGTACAAAATCATGGAAATAAATGATACAAGGGCAAACAGACTTTTTAAAAAACTTATTATAATTCAAATCTAGCCACAGATCCACTTTCTGGGAACCCAATGCTGCACAAATCCCTCCAAACCTCCAACCTGAAGAACCTGCTCTGCCTCTGCCACGTCAGAGAAGAGTCTTGGCTTCACCATCTTCTCTCTAGGTGGCTACTCCCCTAGTTCAGACGATTTTCAACGGCCTGGTCTCTTGGGAAAGGAAGGTGCTTTTATCTCAGGCCCAGAATTCAACCTCTGGATTTAGGCCTTCCTCTGCCTACCTTATGCATAACTTCCTTTGCCTTTTCCATAAATCTGTAAGACGCATGCATCTCCCTGCCTCATCCAGTCATTTGAAGCGTTTCATCAGGTAAATGTCAGGACTCAGTTTCTCCTATGTGGGTGGCAGCCTTTACACTCATACTTTCCAAAGCATCTCAAGTCATTCTAATCTACTGTTCCAACAAGTATATGCCCACTGGTCCCACCAGTGCCCGCAGTGTGTTCTATACAATCACCACATCTATTTCTTTAGCTATTCTCACAAATAGACAAAAGGCCCCAAAGAGCAGATGGCCTTTTTGGAAGATTACCTCATGTCTGCTTGCCCTTCAGGCAAGTAGAAGCTTATATCCTTATACTCTTTCAAAGCCCCTAGCCCCAATCTCCACCTCCTCACCTGGACCTTCCGTGGCCCTGCATTCCTGTCCATCAACTGAGAGATGCCTGATGGAAAACTCATTTGCAGAGCAGAGAATTTAATTGACACCCTCTGGATCCAGGAATGTTCTAGCCAGCCTGGCCTCAGCTTACCCACTGCTCTAACTGCCCAGCTACTCTCTGGACCCAAACCCCCCAGGGGGTGATCTTGCAGAATTCTGCTCATTACAGCTTCACAACATCAAAATCCCTTAACCATGTAATAATGGTAACAAACATACAGTAAGAGGAGGGTTAATCACTCGCACATGCTCTTGTGGGAAAACAGCTCTCTCCCTGGTAAGAAATATATGGGTCTCCACCCCATCACAGAAAAATCCCAGGATGCCCCAGAATGCAGTTTCTTTTCCTCATGACGTGTTGTAAAGCACGTCAGCTGCTCCTTGTTGCTGTGCAGATCCCCCAACATCAGATCACTGAGACAGGAGGCAGCGCTTGCTCACACAGCTGATAGGATTAGTAGATGGTGCTGTGTCAGCCCTGACTGAGACCGAGAAAGCCTTCCGCATACCCAGGTGAGCTCTGAGCACGAGCGGATGGGGGGGGACCACCATGTGTCTCAGCTGTGTGGTGCAGTTTTTCTGTTTGGCAGTGCATTTCTAGTGTCTTCTCTGTGAAGTTTGCAGTCTGGGGACGGGGGTGGGAGGGTTCCTCTCAATAAAAGTCTGTCCTTTATCACTTACCTGGGTTCAGGGAGTGGGTTTATATACGTCACAGGATTTTTGTGTGATTCAAATAAGAATATGTATGTGAAAATATAGTTTTGTTCAAAGGAAAGGTATGAATCATTTAATTACAAATCTCACATAAACTATTTATCCCACATTTAGGGGGGCATAATTACATGAACGCCTTCCTTTTCCATCAGTGTACAATACCGTATCTCCCCAGTTGTCTTTCCAGGCCTGGGCAGGGATATTATCTATAATCTTGAAGGGTTCTAGCCTTATAAAGCAGTTGGTATCTTCTAAAAAACAGCATTACATTCATTTCCAAAGGAAAAGCCACAAAATTACAAAACCAGACAATAAAATAACTATTTCAGTAGAAACTGAAAATGATGCATGAGAATATTTTAAAGCAGATGAAAGATGAATCTATAATATGCTGTATTAGATTATACCTCTTTGATGGTATAATCCAAACGTTTATCTTAATGACATAAGAAACACTTGAATGAAATTAAAGGCAACATAGATATTATCATTTGTAAAACTTGCCTTCTAGAACAGTGGAAAAACAGGCTTGGGTTCCAAAAGTACCGAGCTAAGAGGCATTTGAACGCTAAATTACCAGCCTTCCCTTGGCAGGGTTGCTATGGCGACAACAGGGCTACCGCACAGCCTCTCCCTGCTTGCACTTCTGCAGTGAAAGCTTTCACCCAGCACATGTTGGATTTTTTTAGGCATACACCCCATCACCAAATACAAAGATATTATCGGAGGCAGTTTTATCTGAGTTTTTTCAAAACAGAAGTTATGTTTATGTTCTTTATCCATACTGATGGGCCTCTTACAGAGTTAAAGAATTCACTCATACATGCATTGGTTCATTTGGGTGTTATTTATTGGGCACCCACTGTGTGACATAATCTTTCCTAAGCATTGCTTACAATCCCTGGTGAAGACAGACAAATAAATAGGGAATTCTGATACAAGATCATAACAGCTCTTCCCGGAGGTAAATTAAAAGCAGGTGTCCTGAAAGTATGTAAGGATGACCTTCTCGGGGAATGGGGGAAAGTTTCCTGGAAGAAGCTATCTCTAAAATGAAACATAATATATCTTTAGGAGTTGAGGATGGGTGGGTGGTGTACAAGAAATGCTTTAAACAGATGGAACAGCATGTGGAACAATAGAAGAAAAAGAGAACATAATACCTCCAGAGAATGGAAAGGTCTGTGGTTTGAGGGGTTTATCCATCTCTGTGTGGAGGAAGAGTAGCAAGGGTAGCTGAGGGGTTTGGGTTGGGGTATTGGTAAGAGTGGCAAGAGATGAGAAGGGAGAAGCAAACAAGGCCCGATCATGAAAGGCCTTTGCGCCACATTAAGGAGTTTTAATATTATTTGGAGGACAACCAGCTAGTCATGAATGGGTTTTAATGAAGCAGCATGCCTTGATTAGCTTTTTAGAAAAGCCTTGTGAAAAAACTGAAAAGCTGGCAAGAAAAAAGAGGCAAGATTGGAAGAAGCAATACAACTTTTATTAGACCAATGTTGCAATAATCCAAGTTGTTTCTTATTTAGATGATAAGTGAAGATAATGGTGCCCAACAGTGGACAGAACTAAATAGATAAAAGCCATTTTTAATTTTTACTAGGATAGCATGGAGATCAATTGGTTTCTACTATGTGGGGACTATGTGAGGGAGAAGTCAAGAATGACTCTCAGGTTCTGACTTGGACAGCTCAGCCGACTGTGTTTCTGCTATTAGGCCCCAGACTCAATTCTCGGTTCTCAATAGGAAACTCAGGAGCATCTTTTGACCTCAATGGTCTGTTCCTATTTCACAGTCTGTTTCCTCAGACTCATAATTTTGTAAATAGTACATTGTAGGAATCATCCTGGACCATCACTTTCCTCAAGTCTATATATGAGATAGCTGTGAATGTAGAAAATATGAATTGATCACCCTTTTCCCCAAGCAAATAACCTTTAGATTACCAACCTCACTGCTTATGAGTTCTAAGTGCACAGAAAAGGCATGAAGATGTTCTTTGGGGGAACAGGAAGAACGCAAATTGATTTCATTAATCCTGTCTGATTGATTTCAGCCTTTCTCTGGATTCACACTGTACATTACTAGATTTGAGAATTGAAAACTCAGAAAAATGCTTTTTAGGGGACAAATAGGGACAGTGGAGGTTTGAGAACAGTTTTTGAGGGCCATAGTCCTCTTATGTAGGACACTGAGTAAGGATCAGACACTGCTACTCAGAATATTCTCCAGTTCTGAATAAAAACTGGGCATTGAAGTTATTACCCAAGTGAATTCCATCCCAGATGAGATTAAGTATAGCAAGTGGAATAAATCGAGGTCCATGACCCAGTCGATGATCCCTATTCTAAGTCTTCAGTTTGATAGGTTTTTGAGCTTTTTTGAACAAGTGGGTGGGCCTCACAATATTGAATGGACATGCTGGACTTAACTGCCCTTTAGCAAGTTCTGTTCAATCAGCTGGGTACAACTGTTTTATTTTCCTCATCTAATCCTCACAGCTACCCTTGAGACAGATACTATTATTATTCCTCAATTTAATCAAGATAAACATGAAGTTCAGAGAGGTCCATAACTTTTAAGTATAAAGGCACTCAGTGTGAAGGGAGTGGAATGCTACCTTGAACCTGGTTCTCTGAGTTCTGAGTTCAAGTGCAATGTCCTTCCCTTAACTGTGCCTGGGGCCCATTCTCGGGCAGCTGGGGGCAGACTGGACAAAAGGCCACTCTCCCCCTAAACGGCATGGCTTCCCCAAGCCTGCGGGAGCTGGCATCGTCGTTCTTTTCCTGTGGTGGTGCCAACCCACGGCCCTTTAATGCAAACCGCCACGTTGAATCGCAGCCTTTGGGATCCCGGAGCCGAGATGCTGTGTCAGTCCAGCAGCGCTGGCTTGGCTGGGGTCCGGGTGGACGGGACCCGCCCCGTCTCCCTCAGGCGAGGTAATTGTGGGGAGCTGTATGTTGACTTAAGACCAAGAGGGCAGGGAGGGGCCGCAAGGGAAAACTTTCCCTTTCTCCATTTTGGCTCTCAGTGATGTGGTTTTTCTCAGCTCCTCCATCCGACGTGCACCCCTTCAAACCAGACACCAGGTGCCAGAAAGAGGCCAGAGATGCGCCGAGCCTCGCCCTGCTCCCTTCGGGTCGGGCTCAGCGGAGCGAGCGGCGCGCGGTCGGGCGGGGTCGGAGCCGGGCCGGGGATTCCGGGTGCGGACGAGCCGCCCCGGGGACCGGCAGGTGAGGGCGGGGCGGGAGGTGGGCGGTGTCCCGGGAGCAGCGGTGGCGGCGGCCGCACCACGTGTCCGGCCGGGGCGGGGCCTCCGGGTGCGAACCGCGGAGAGGCGGCGGCGCGGCGGTCCTCAGCGCGCCGGCTCAGCGCAGCCTCCTCGCCCCGGTGCTCGCAGGTGCCTCCTCCCGGACGGCGGCAGCGGCGGCGCGAGGAGCAGGAGGGCAGCGGCGCGATGGGACCTCTTCGAGAGACCAAGGTAAGGGTGGGCGCGGGAGACAGAGGGAAGGTGGGCACCCGGGGCAAGAAGCGGATCAGGTAAGAGCTGGAAGGGTGGCATTCCGAGTTGGGGTAAATGCGGACGAGGAGGTGGTGGGGACCATGGGAAGGCAGAGGGTCATTTGCTCAGGTGTGGAGACCCGGTAGATGGGAGGTGATACTGGAGAAGGTTCTGAGGGTTGACATGAGGATTAAAAAGACTGACTTTGGAGGATTAATCCCATCTCCTGAAATTGGGGATTTAGGATCTTGCTCTCATTTGATGGCCTGTGTGTGTGATGTGAATAAAAAGGGTTTAATGTATTGGTGACTGAAAAGTAAGGATCAGCATGTCAGCGACCCAGCACTGGTCCAGGGTGTGTGATGTGCGCGAGTAGCTGACGTGAGGTTCCTGCTGGGTGACTGATGCGCAGAACACATCCAGAGGCTGGGTGCGGCTTTCGCCCCTTGGGGTGGAGGCCTGAGGACCTCAGGGGTCCCCCGCGGATAGGGCTTTCCCTTCCACTCCTCCACTGCGCGGACCTCCCAGAGATGTTTACTTTGGAAGCGACCCTTCCCGGTAAGCCGTTTGGAAATGAACAAGGGTCATGTTTCCAAAGAGTGTTTGTTACCTAATCCAAAGCACTTTTTCAATTGCAGAGATTGGAGGGATCCGTGAGTTTTTTTTGCAAAGAGCTCCTCCTAGGAAACCATTTTAATATGGCAGGGTAGTGGTGGCCCCGAAAATCACTGGACTTAAGCCTGTTCTGCTTCTAGATGATATGTCCTGTTAGCTAAGCATCTTTACCTCTTTTAGCCTCAGTTTGCTCATCTGTAAAAAGGGACACAAATTAGTGACCTCTCTGTGGGCTGGGTTGTAAAGATCAAATGAGATAATCCTCGGGAAAGCACTTTAAAAATAGAAAAACATTGCCGAGATGCTACTTTGTATGCATTTTTTAAAGAAATTAGAGTACAGCCCTGTGTATTTAATGCTGCATTTTTAAGGAAAGAGAGAAAAATGTCTTTTCATGGGGGTCCTTTAAGGAAAACAAAAGCTAAATGATGTAAAAGGCAGAGCCATCTTTCTGGGTGTTGGATTTTTGTTTGCTCTTCTCCTGGCAACAAGCCTTGTGTACCAGGATATTAATGAATAATTAAGATCCTGGTGGGAAGAAGAGGGATTTGAAAGATAAGTCTGCACGGAGTATCAGGAAAGAGAAGTTCCAGTTATAGGAGTTAACTTTGTGAGGAGACAGGAATCCAGAAGTCAAACCGTCACAGCTAATTCAGGGGAAGCAAAATGGAAGTCCAGAGGAAATCAAGTAATAAGCCAGAGTGCTATGAATAATCAGGATCCTTAGAACCGATAACTTGAATGTGGTAGAAAAAGCCAGAGTGGGAGGTGAATTAGGAATCAGATGGGAGAGTGGAATGACCTTCATGCTAGCAGGTAGAAGTGTGTGTGTGTGTGTGTGTGTGTGCGCACACACACACACACACACACACACACACATTTCAGGGGATGGGGTTAGCTCAGTGGAAGTATTTTGGAGCTCATTTCAGCGATGGAGATAAGGCCTAGTCTGTGAAGATTCAGTATTCAGCAATGTGATTTCTTAGAAGTCCAGAAGGAGCAGACAGAAATTAAGAGGGGGAAACAAATTTCTTTTTGTTTTCTTTTTGATGTCCAATTTTGAGAAGGAGCAGAGAGTAAAGCATCATGAGAAGGAGATTTCCCGAAGCCGAATTCCCCGTTTGATTCTTCGGCCCCATTTGCCCCAGCAAAAGCACAAAGTGTCCCCAGCCTCTGAGTCGCCTTTCTCTGAGGAAGAGAGCAGAGAGTTCAACCCCAGCAGCTCTGGGCGCTCTGCGAGGACCATTAGCAGCAACAGCTTCTGCTCAGGTACAGTATCCATGGGAGATCCACACAGGCTGTGTGTGGCTGCTGGTGTGCAGTGATGGAGCCTGGAGTGGCCTTGAACTGGACTCATGCTGTTAGGCTAAGTTGCCTCACATTGCACTTTTTTAGTTGTTTTGACCTACAAATATCTAGTGGAATTTCATACCTTTCTGTATATATTATTCTAGTTTATAATTGATGATATGAAAGCTAACTTATTTCCATGACTGCTTAAAAAAAGGTATACCTTCATTAAATGTGGAAAATCTACTAGCTTGCATAGTACTTCTGATTATGGAAGTCCCAAAGATAGAGCAACTCCTAATGAATGAGGTCAAGAGCAAGGAGCTTTATATCCCAGGGCTGGCCCAACCCTGTAGTTTAAAGGAGAAGAGGTCATGCTTTGTAATCTGTCACTCCTGAACTGAAATCCCTGGCCTTTTCATCATTTACAAGCTATATGACCTTGGGCAAGTCACTTAACCTCCCTAAGGGTAGTTGTGACATCCATGAAATGGGGTGATAGCACCTGCCTTATAGAGTTGCTCTAAGGTTAAATGAGACCACTCACATACCTAAATGTACTCCTAGCACAGTGCCTGGCTTGTAAAGGTGCTTTATAAATGATGGTTTTTATCACCTTGAACTGTGGATGTCAGTTTTGGCACATGATTAAGGAAGATGATTAAGGCAGTTTCCTTAAAATTGTGAGTATATTTGGTAAAGAAACAAATTACTCCATAACTCCTGAAGGTACCACCCTTGTCACTTGTCAGAGCCTATTATACCCATTGAAGCACATGACTTAGAATAACTTATGTTCTTTGAGAAGTATTAGGAATTGGGGTAAAATTTAAAGGAGTGATTGTCTTATAACTAATGAAAAATATTTCATAGTGGACAGTTTTTAGAACTTAGGGAAAATGTTATTTGAAGATGAATAATACATGTATGAGGAGGGATTTGTGAATCAAGATGCTATGATTAATGCCCTAATTTTGCAGGGCACAATATTCCACTATTTTTAGCATTGGTAACCACATTTTCAGGGATATTTTTTAAGGCGTAGTTTTGGATTTATTACATGCTGTCACAAAACAACCCCATTCTATGCACAAATTTTACATTAGAAATACTGTGCTGCTTATTTTTAATTTTTTCTCTGTAAAGCCTCAGATCCTCTGCTTGGTTCTGAAAAAAAGTCTATCAAAATATTATATTTTAAAGCTTAGTTCTTGCCATTTGAATTACATGAATCTCATCTAAAATGGAGACCCACTGATGGTTTGCCTGATACTCTCCCAAGAAGAAAACAAAAGGAAAACTGCAAACAGGAGCAATTCAGCTCCCTAGAACCTGGTGTGATATTTGCAGAATGTAATGCTGTTTACTTCAACTCCATTTTGGAGCTCAGGCATCACTCTGGATGAGTGTGCATGAACTCAGGGGATATCATTTCCAGTTGACATGGCTGTGTTTACACAACTCAATTCCACCTTTATTCCTGATATTCTCTCTACATAACCATTTTCTCTTTGACTGACTTCAAGGTGAGTAATGTTACCAGAAAAAAGAAAAAGTTGGTTAAAATGGAGCAAAAGAACAACTCCAGATGTATCTTAGAAAATACATTAAGCAAACCAATAAGACTGTTAACTTTGGTCATGATTCACTGTCTCCACGACCTGTGGCCTGGATCATCTCTCCTTCCCAGGAGGCCCATCTTCCACTAAGGCCATAATGCTGTACATGAAAATCGAAAGTAGATATTGATCCTTCTGCCATTAACTGGCTGAGAATTGAGTGGCAAAGCCATCTAATTATGGATCTGTAAGCCTACTTTTCGATCTTTAGCCTTGCATCCTGTCTCCAGAACTTTTCTCTGCTCCTAAAGCCTCATCTTCCTGTCTGGGCAATTCCCCCAGGTTTGGGTGGGTGCATTTTCCTTTTTGGCTTGCCTTTCTACGCAGTCCCCCCTGATAAGCCACACAATGGTTTTGAGTGCTGCATTAACTAAAACTGATGGGCAAGGCCTGGGTGGTGGGGGAGCTGGCGGGCACGCATGTTAATGATGCTTTAGGAGGTCAGTGGGTGGATGGGAAATAAATGGGTTTTGTACTATGGGGGGCATTAAAGCTGCAGGCAGTGAGGTAGAGAATTTAAAACACGTCCAACCAGCAGGGGGAAATAGCTGGTTTTAATTCAACCACTTTAACACTGAGGCAGGAATATGTGTTGGTTGCTTAATCAAGGCAGTTGAGTCAGAGACCAAGCCAGGTACTTGCAAACACTGAAAATTCCATCCTCTGCTAGAATGAAACTAAACTAATTTAGAGATGTGTGTTGCTGCCATAGCTTCATAACTGCACAGTGATCATTCTGCATCAGCTTGCCATCTTTATAAATCTTCACATTTGCCAATGTGAAAGGGGACATGCAGAGTTAGGAGGATTCTTACAATCTGGTGGTGAAATTATAGAGGGGGATGTTCCTCAAACCCAGTGCAATTTAATTTGGAAGTCATATTTTCAGAACTGAAAACTAGAGACTCTTTTCCCATATCTGTATCAACGGTGTTAATTGTGAAGAACATCATATGTTCTAAGATACTCCATTTTTTAAAAAAGGGTACTAGTGAGTTCACATTAAGTTAAATTTACTTTAATATAAAGGCTTATCCTTTGTTTGGAGAGTCTGTCTTTCTTATTTGTAATAATACCAAAAATCATAGTAGTGGATGTAGTTGCACTTCAGCAAAATAAATGACAGTTCTTCACCCTCACCCTCACATTTTCTTTTAGTTTTACTGATCTGTGGCATTAGGAGACTGGGAACTATTTTCAAAGTTGCCTGTCCATTTTTACCTACTTTCCTTTTTCCTTCCTGTACTCTACTGCCTTCCCCCTTTCTTCCACAGTAATCTTGGCAAGGAACATTTAAGGATTTAATATTCTATATGCTAACTTTTAGGTTGTGTTCATCAGAGGGAAGGAGTTGTGTATAGCCTTTTGCAATTCATTTGGGGGTGTATCCCCAAAGAGCTCTTATTTTAACAGCTTTTTATTAGCAGAATTTCTTTGAAGATATGCATGTGTTGTGTGCATTTCATCAGCATGTGTCTTCTTGCACTCAGACATCATTTTCTGCTGAAAAGTCTATTCCTTACAGTTTGTTTTTGGTCCTAGTCGCTGTGACCTTAGCCAAACACAGTCAAGTTTATACTGTATTGGAGACCTGGCCTTATTTCGTGTGCATGGCAAGTAAAACATTGTATATGCTTTATCTAATGCTTTCTTTTAAAATAAAAAAGATACATAAGGAAGTACAATATATAGTAAGTTAATAGAAATAAAACACTTGCTTTCATGTCCCCCTTTATTATTGACTGATTTTTTTTTAACCAGTGTTTTGGTATAAAGTTACCCTATTTTTCCTCCCTGCCACCCCTCATCGCCCCATGTTTCTTGTTTTAACATACCCATGAGAAACCCCTGTTTGTGATTTGTGTCATGGGTGTGGCCCTTTGAATTTAAGTTTCTGTCCATTTTTCTCCCTTCTTTTTGTTGTGGTGAATTTTGTTTGTCATGATACTGTGTTTCCAGCCACTATGACAAAAGCTGATGATCTGGGTGAGTGAGTCGGTCACATCCATCAGTCACCTGATGTGGTGAGCAGCAGGCTGTGCATTCCTCTCTGCTTAGTTGAGGCAATAATTGCCCCTTAGAACTAGGAGGAAGAGGGATTGCTGGGTTTTAAGCTAGTTCTCCTTGGGGTGCCTTGTAAACATGGCAGAGGGAACAAATTATGGCTATAGAACACTGGTTGTTATATGGGAGACCAGTGATTTCTCTGAGTTATTTTCATGTTCCTAATGTGCACACACACATACATAGGCAAGTTTATGACTTAACCCATTGAAAAAGCAGATACACTAAATAGTCAGAATCTGAGATTCTTTGCAGTTAATCCTGATTAAGGTGTTCACACAAAGTATTCTGGTTTTTACAGTGGCTGGGAAGAAATCCTAGAGGTGACCTAGAGGTAATCGTTGTTGCTGTTTGTGGGAAGAACAATTAAGGCAAATTACACCCTGACTAGTGCGCTGCCAGGGCATGACAATGCCTACACAAATTTGCCAGCCCTCTATGCCAAACAGAAATATTTCTGCTATGCTTTTTTCCAGTTGAGGAAAGTTGGCATCTGGGTAGAGTAAGCCTTTGAATGTAATGATCAGAATTCAGAACTGTTTAAAGTGAAGTAAGCTGCGATACCAAATTACAGTCTAACTGAATGACTGCCAACCTGCTGTGATGAAAAAAGAAGGACCCTAAGACTTCCATGTCATTTTAATGAGTGTGGGACCCAGGCGCTGTTGAATATGTTCCAAGTGTTTAGCTGCCTCAGCCACAGAAATAAGTACCTAATGATGTAGGTCACAAATGAAGGGTACATGGGCAATGTTTCTCTGAGGATGTGGTAATTGCCATTGGGAGGACAAGAGCAAAATTTTTTGCCATTTACTAAAAAAAATATTTAGCAGTGGGGACTGTGAATGGTGATCAGAATGGAATTGGACCTTGCCTGAGAGCAGACTGTGGCACTTGCTGTGAAAATCTTTTCTGTACAGTGCTCATCTTCATGACCTTGTTCCTCAGTTTCAGAGTATGGTGTTGGTCTGCTTTGGGATCCTAGAGAAAGCTTGTTTAAAATGCAGATCGCTTGGCCCCACCCTAACCTATTAGCTCAGCATGGGGGAACCCAAGAATCTGTATTTTACAGGCTTTCCAGCTAATTCTTATGCCTATTGATGTCTGGGCCTCACTGCTTTGTGGCCCGCGTGTGCTGGGGATTTTGTATGAGGGAAATGAGGGGTATGCCCCAGTGGAACTGCAGGATGAAGGAGGATCAGAGGTGGTAGAAGTAGTGGCCAGCCAAGCTGTTTAAACCTATGGCATGGAGCAAGGAAGATGTCTTCATATTCCCTGGAAATTATAGCCTCTCAC